TGCTCAGTATCAGTAAGTTATGGACCTAAATAACGTGATACCAAGTATAACAAAACTTCTTCAGTCACACAATACATGCACCTGATCCTTCTTTTTTACCTATCTAGAAAATAATATATATGTGTACGGTATTACACACAGCCAATCACCACAAGGGTTCAAAATGAATGTCCTCTACTGCAGCAGCTAACACTCATACAGTCTGTGTCGTGTTGACATTGAGCATGGCAGACATAAGCCATAATAATACGAATTTGAATACTTTCAAAATGTATTTGTGTCAAAGTCATTTGTTTGGAGAGGAATGATGATGGCATTTGCTGCTAGTGATAAGTGCTGTTGTTTATACTGTGGACAGAAGAGGCCAAATGAGGAAGAGTCGGGTATATAAGTGTAGAGTTTAGTGCTACTAATAAAAAAGCAATTTGTGCCAACGGAGTGTCTTTTTTTACACCTTTTAATTGTTTTGGATTTAAATCGTATCAGTTTGTGCCAGAGACATAAAATGTAATGATAATCAGGTACTGTCAAATATTTCCACCTTCCAGCTGGCAACTCAGTATTTGCAAGTTGTTTGATTATCAAGAAATGATTGTTGGGGTCATATAAGGGTTTATTTGACCGTATTTAACTATAATATACAATGACTATGAGATTAGGAAATGCTTTGAAGGGCTTCGCTTAACAATTGTACAGGGAGCACTACCACTGTACTTGGCAGAAACGTTGGTGTTTGTCAGTATGTTGCTTAATGCTTTATCAAGCTGTGCATTAGGACACACAGCCAATAGGGCACGCAGCTTTATGTTAGCAGGCATAGTAACTTCAAAGCTCATAAGAAAAACATTACTAGTGTTCCATGCAACCCTCAGTGCTCAGCTACAAGCATTCAAGTGAGAAAAGCTGGTGAGACTGATTCACTCAGAGACATCCTGTGTGGCAGAGCAGCAAGATCATCACAACAACCCACACCTTGAGTATTCAGAAACAGAGAGAAACTCTGGTGTCAGCAAATGTCTCCCGCCTCCATAAAGACCCCACAAGAAAATGCCCCCGAGTAAAGGTCTGACTTGTACCGTGAAGATTCCACATAATGAAAAGTGTGGAGCCCAGTTCAATTTTGCTTAAATATGTCTTCTGAGAGCTAGCAGATCTAATATGGAAGTCACTGTCGGGATTTGACGGAGCCATAGTGTAATGCCTTTGGGCTAAACATAGGGAACTGAAAAGCTGGGGCCATGGCTGTGTGCTCTGCTGCCCAAAACCACTATAACTACTCTGCTATTTTTATATTGGAAAGTTGATTGATGGAAGAACAGCTGAGTTAGATCAGAGGAAGTGAGCTTTAACCCTACTGCTCCTGACTGAATTCAGCAAATGAAGTTTAAAAGTAATGTATGCCATGTCATGCAAAGACAACATTTCAACTTACATGGTACAAGATAAGTAGCACTATTTCTGCCTCAGTTATATCAAAATGTATATGTTTTTGCCTATTGAGAATATATAATGTGCTTTCTAATAATGCGAGACTGAAAGCACAAATTGTGAAAAAAATGCTGCAGAGAAAAACCGCAGGATTTATCTCGCCCTAAATGAGAAATTTTAGGGGGGAGTAATTTTCTCTAAATTGTCATCTCACTTCATGTTAGAGGATTAAGAAATTAATGAAAAGTGGCTTGTCAATCTGACACTTCTAAATTAAGAAGAAAGTATCCAAATGACAAAATTAAAATGGGAAGAATGAAGTAGAGGATAAATAATTGGCGGGGTAAATTCTGACAGATAGAGAAGTGGAAAACATGGCAGCTGAGGAGAAGAGAGGGGAAACAGAGTAAGCAGCCGATGCTCCAGGCAATGCCATCTGTGGGTGGATCTGCAAAGGCTGCATGCCACACACCTGTGTGAAAGTGCCTGGAGATAAGGCCCTCAGCACAATGGCCCCATGGCCACCTGCGCTGCCAAACAGGTGCACAGCCCAGCCAATTAAACTATTAGACAAACACAGGCCTCTGGGAGCAAATTAGCAAGCTGCCCAAACATCAGAGGAAAAACAAAAAGGAATGGTAAGCAGTAACTGAGCGTGAACAACAACACTTTGATGGGGAGACTTTCATTTCAGTGTATAGAATTATGATCATGGTTTCTGATGTTTTTTATGTAATTATCAAATCATTGTTGAAAATGTCTCCATTGTCTTAACACAGGCCAGCTTTATATGATTGAAATAGAATGAAGATAAATATGCTCACCATGTGTTAATGGATCAGGGCTATATTTAGCTCAAATGTATCCAAATGACAATTAATTTAAAAATGTCTGCATGATGTGAGCCATAAGAAAAATACTATTTGTGTCTGACCAATGGCCCACTTGTGACAAAGCAGTGTTTTAACTAATTACAATGATACATTTCACTTGAAGTGAAGACAAAGTTATTTTTTACAAATATAAATTCAATAATTTCCTGCTTCGCTTTAGCTCTCATGCAGTACTTCTTCATTGCGTGTTGGTTGACGTGATGGATGAAATATCTGGGTCGAAAAATGTATTTATTAATATATTTATTTATCAAAAACAGTTTAGGACCATTCATCGATTTTACTGAGAATAACCGTCCGCTTCGTACTGCGAATTCCAGTGCTTAAATGGGTAAAAATACAGACTTGGTTTCGCTGACCTGTTAACCTTTGACAAACCGATAGTTTATTGGCCAAACACCAGCATTGCTTTTGGAATTTAAGTTTGTTCTCTGTAATGAGAAATCCTGCGTAATGCTATAGGAAACACCAGAAAGACACAAATAAATGGTAGGATATAATGCACAAACTACCAGTGTATCTTACATTTTGTACAGGCTTATTACTAGTCAGCTTTTACCGATGCTCATTAACTCGGGTCAAATACAAAAATTAAGTCTCCAAAATAGAATTATTCAAAAGTTGACCAGGGGTTAATTTTTAAAAGTTGTAAATTAAAATATGCATGAATGCACTGCACTGCTATCTACTTCATGGTTATTTTCTGTTTATGATAACATGGCGGACAAAGGTTACATTAACATAGTGGAGTCAGTAAACCAAATGTGGATTTCCTGTGTGTTGTGATCCATGACAATTAAGTGCATTCATATTCATTATGAGTAACCTTATCCATGCTTCAAGAAAACAATCAGTCCTTTCACCCAGGAGAGAAATAATGAAGGGTGAAAAGATGAGCAGAACACCTGTGTTAGTCTACATTCACACTATTCCTCGTCGCCGCACACACCCATAAGGTGGCTTCTTCCCTGCATGGACCTGACCATCCGTAGGAGGCGACACGTCCATGAAGCACTGGTCCTTTACATGCTGGCCAGAGGATCAGCCATTTGAAAACACACACAGTGCGAGTCTGGCCTCACTTACATCCCCTCGGCACCAGTTGGCCTTTCTGAGTGCAGAGGCTGACTGCCTGACGACCGGCTTCACAGCTCTGCGATCACTCCAGGGATAATCACTTAGCTAGTAAACTATACAACATATTACTATTTTTTCTGTGTTTATTGTGTTGCACTGTTGACTATGACTAATAAAAGCCTTGAACCTTGAAAAGATGCATGTATACTAAGCATGGTGTGGTTCACTAGCTATAACATTGTTATCTGACTGAATACATTTGAATATTTTGTAATTAAACATTACATGTGCATCCTGTTGGTCCTTAGTTTGCTCAGGAAGAAGAGCATTGAAAAAGGTCAGCTTTACCCTCATATGAATGGGTGTCTTGAGTGGTGAAGGTTTGTATGAAACTCTATAACTCTATATAATGCAGAGATGCAGCAGTAATGCTGGTATTAGCAAACAGATTAAATAAAAGCTCTTCTGGGGGCATGCTGGCGAGTCTATCTCTGTACCCAAGGTGAACATACAAAATAATTCCACTTATCCAGTGACTGTTTAATATGCACCATTCATTGATTCACATCAGGAAACATTTCCTCAACAGTGAGATGGTAAATCATTTAAAGGATCTGCTGTCACTAAGGGTTCTGCAGCACTAGTGGGACCAAATCAAAATTGGAGATCCCATTTAAAGAGAGAAGTCAGAGAATGTTGTTAGAAATTAGAGACGAGGTTTATAAAACCATTGAAATCTGGTAATGAAAGATTTTAGAGCCAATCAAGGCTGAGCAGGACAGAGCCGAATACAAAAATAATTTGTTGGAATACAGGTTTGGTTCCTAACAACTGGCCATTTTCCTTCTCCATGACTGTACGCTTTGTTTCAACTAACAGTCCAATGAGAGGCCTTTACATACATACAATTATTATTTAATCATTTCCAGCGGACACCTCCCTTGCTTAATGTCGAGTGACGTGATTTTCATTTGGATGAGTATTGCTTGAAAAATACATAGTATGATGATTCAATTTCAAGAGTACATTTCAGGTGCGTATACCTTAAGTTGCTAATGTACACCTACACAGTATTGCAATTCATCCTACTTTCATGAAGGTTACAAAGTTCAATTTGTATAGAATCTTTTTTAGAGAAGTGTTCATTCCACTGATAAAGTCGCGGTTGCTGATATACAAATACTGCTCAACAGAAACAAATATAAATAGCATTAGTAATTACTTTGCTTACAGCTTGTCCTTGCACTTAGCCACTTACTCTGAGCTTCGTCACTGTGCTTCACTCTACCAAACACACAACAAATGATCATTCTGTGCGTCAGGGTTTTCATTTGGTCTTTTGTGATGGTGGTGTATCACCTAAGTGCGTGCGTCAGCATCGTTGGTGTCTGCCATTAATGCTCTCTTTCTCCAGTTTTAAGCCATATTCCACTTTCTTAGATATTGATGGAACCGGATGAAAGATTTTAGTCTTCAGACGTCTCGATCAAAGACACAAGGTGAGAAACCACAGCCTTTAGTCCGTAGCCCATGAAAAGATCACTCCCAACATTCCCAGGCAAAGGCTAGTTTTGCAGTGTGTGAATTTGTTGAGTTACTAACCTGACAGGGTTACTTGTGAGAGACACTCTGAGCGACTCCAGGCAGTTGAGCAGCTTTTCTTCTGTGATGCCAGAGCGCAGCTCGTGGACATATTCTTGGGAGGAAAGTGTACTCTCATGCCTGCTGTTCCTAAGTCCACCCTGAAAACCAAATATCAAAAGTTTAGATTACAAACATACACTATATTACCTCGGTAGGTCGATCTAATACAAAAATGATAATCAAATACAAACGTGTACACAAAGGACGTCATCCATGCATGATTTGATGACAACCACATACTCAACAACAACATGAAGAGGACTTAATGTTAGTGAGGGTCTGGTGTTCTCAGTAGAGTTAGTTGTTGAGACGTGTTTTGACATATTTTTGGATTCTCACAATGCTAGTGATAAAAGCTGGCAAAAATGTCTGTGTTTTGGTAAAAGGACAAGTGAGCATCTAGTGATGTGTTGGCCAACATCAGTTTTTTCTCAATCAGCCAATATTGCAATGATGGACTATTCGCAGAGAGAGCCAAGCACAGCGGCAGCTCCTGCTTGAAATAAATGGATTCTTGTGTATAGTCTCCACAGAAGCCTCTAGGGACATGTTGCTACACTGATGCTTACACACTGAGACTACCTATTGGCAGCAATACACACACTTACACCCCAGCAGGGAAACAAACTCACTCACCCAGCACACACTGTAGACAACCCCGTGAATTACATTTAGCTGCAGCTTGATTCCAAAGCAGCAGAATGATTGAATATATGGCCTGACTTTGTTTTCGTGCAGGAAAACACATGACAAAAACCTTTTCAGGCAAATGTATGAATTCAACTTAATTATCTCTACTCCGACACATATGTGTTAAATTGGTATTTTTTTTGTTTGTGTCAAAATGAGCTACATTTTGGACGGGGGCTTTGTATAGCGACCGTACAAAACAAAATGAGGAAACTCTCTCTGCAAAACAACATCACAAGTTAAGCCGAGCCAGACTGCTAGACAAAATCATTTTCACTGTGATCATCCCTGGACTGCTGGTTCCCCACAAAGTGAGCTGTGCTAATAGGCAGTTTGGGAAGTAATAAGCTAGCTCATTTATCTGGAGAAAAGAGAGGCCTGCTGCTCTCCTGCAATGCACAGTCAACATGAAAGAACCATATTGTTCGGTTGAAAAAAGCAGAGGAAGTCTACAGCGAAATGCCAATAACTATGTGTTGTAGGTTTTAACTGATCTTAGTTTGATTGGTTCAAAAATGTCAAATAGTGTTTTCTTGAAGGCTGCCGTAGGATCATCAATCTGCTATCTTCTACGTCTTGTTTATTATTGACAGTGAAAATGAAAAAGCAAACAGCCATTATTGTCTTAATGAGAGGGGTTTTTGTAAGGCACATCAAACTGAAATAAAACAGAAAAACAAAGATCTATTCTGTTCTACTTAAATGTCTCTGTTCTTCTTGGTGTGCACAGATGAACCAATATTGCAGTTTTCTATTATTAGTAGTGGCATGGTTTTTATACATTGTGTCTGTTCTGCTATTGTGATACTAACACTACCAAAAAAGTTAGACAGTATGCTTTCACACAATTGTTTTTGCTTAATAGCTAAATGGTGCAATGAATCAATGTTGTGTGATTCTTGTCTTTTCTCTACCCTTCTCATCTTGATCTATACGTACTTATGCCATTCATCTTTTTCTCAAGCACCGTTGGGTGAATGTTAAGGAGTGTCTGACTAAGCTTTTAGAAGGCTGAAGGTAGTTTTATTACACCATAGGGAGAGGTAAGAATCCTTCTCCTTACATCTATATTTTTCAACTATTACAACCGGGCCCTTTCGTGCAAAATTCTGACCAACACCATTTTCACTAGTTTTTACAATTGACCATGAAAATAATGAAAATTGTAAAGACCAAATTTCAACTGTGTGAAGGCTCAATAGTCTGAGCAGAAAGAAAGACGGTGAACTCTCTGGGCTTATGAGTTTTCAAGGTTCAACTAAGACGGTGATGTAAAACTTTAAATTCCTGAGAGGAACTGCTTTTTTTCAGAAACGGACTATTGACAGTGCACAAAAGACCTGGCAACGCAGTGCTTTCAGAAAGTTTTGCTGATGTCTGAGCACTTCCCTGGGAGCAATGTTCGCCAAATTCAGTTTCTTGGTGGCAGTAGTGCTGGTTATTCCAGTATTCAGGGTGAAGGTAGACTGCTCCACCTAACGGTTAGTTACATAGTTCAGTGGTGGGTTTCATTCAAGTCTGAAGACCAATGGCCTGACATTTAGCAGAGGCTTGACTTGGTTGGAGAGCTTAATAAAATGTTCTCAGCAGCTTTGTCTGCGGCTGTGGCTCAGTGGATAGAGTGCTGGACTTCGAATCAGGGGGTAGCAAGTTCGAGTCCCACTGCAGTCAGCATGTCGTTGTGTCCCTGGGCGAGACACTTCACCCCAAAATTGCTCCTGTGGGGATTGCCCACAGTACTGTCGCTAAGTAAGTCGCTTTGGATAAAAGCGTCTAACAAATTACATGTAATGTAATGTCAAGGACAGCTTGCAACATTGAGCATGTAGACACCAGTAATTAGTCAACTATAAATGCATGCACTTTAGGCAGGGTAATAGGGCCTCAATAACATCTATTTGAACACAAACAGTAAAAGAATAATTGCAAATCACTGCAACTCTATATTTGTATATGGCTGATAAGGTGGCTGCATTTTCAGTTTGTCACTTCCTCAATAATACAGAGCATTGTGAGAGGAAAACACATCGCCCACTTTGTATTTATCTTCTTACTTCCAAGCAGTTCCCAGCAGGCATTGCACTATGTCCAGAAAAGCTATGGCTCTGGTTTCACCGCATGCTCTGACCTCTGGAAACCAAAGACACTGACCATAAACTGCTTTTTCATGACCATAGCCCAAATCAATGGAATCCTTTTGGGATAATATCAACATTACACCACCACACTGGCAGTAGAGAAACAATCTGAGGATTAGACGGAGGTGGGCATTACCTGCTGGCTACTGTGTAATAGAGTTTCCCCCCTTCAGGCTCACAAAAATGGTCAACAGAAGAAAATTGTCAGAAAAGAGGCCCCAGAGAAAAGCACCAAGGGAAGATGGAGGGATGAGGGAAAGAGATGTTGTGAGTAGGGTTAGGAACCGAAACTCGGTTCCAGATGAGAACCGATAAGAAAATGCCGGGTACCGGGTACCCATACAAAATACACAATTTCAGTTCTGCTTAACGGTTCCTAAACGCGGTAGACCCTGTATTCCACCGGGTCCGTCTGCGCCGCAGCGACCCGGTGTAATCAGCGGCGGACTGGCCATCTGTGTGTTCTGGAGAATCACAGAACGGCCGGTCGTCAGCGGGCCGTTGACGGCCGGCTTGGTTCGCTGACGGCCGGCACCGCCCTTCATTTTTTTAAACGGCATCATGTAAGTTGCGCTGACAGGCGACAGAGGTCCACAGTTGCCCCGCAGCGAGGCTCCCCCCGCCCTCCCGTAGACATTTCATGAGCTCAGTCACTTCATAACACCAAAGATGGGTCGCGGTAAACGCTCTGAAGTGAGGCTCCACTACACTAAAAAAGAAAAAGACAAGGCACAGTGTAATGCCAGTTAATAGCTTGCCACAGGCATAGCTCCGTTAAAATAAAGCACAGCTATTGTGCAATACATTTGTATTGCATGTATATTTTTTATTTGTAAAAATGTCAGTTAAAGCTTAAAAGAATAAAGATATTTTTGTTATCTAAACGTTTGACCTCTTTCTTTTACAATTTTGGAATCGAAACGGGGAATCGATAAGAACCGGAATCGATAAGCAGAACCGGAATCGGAATCGATACATTTCAAACGATACCCATCCCTAGTTGTGAGGGGAGGTGTGTGATGAAGCAGTTAGAAAAAGTGAGAGAAGCAGAGGTAGTTTGAGGGAGAAAGTAGGGTTTGGACACAAAAAGAAAGAGAAAGAATATGGAGGAGGAAGAGCAGGGTGGAGAGATAGAGCACCAAGAGACAACCTCAACAGTAGAGGACAGACACAGCCATTTGACCACGGCCTAGAGCCTCATCTCCTGCCGCTTATTGAATCCCCTATTTGTCGATAACAGTATTTCCTGCCAAAGAAAATAGTGCTGGGAGCAATTACTTCAGCAAGCCTGTCAATTTCATTTTGGGGGGTTAGGGGAGCATTGAGGCTCATTCCCTCCTCCTCGATCACCTCTGTCTGCCTTTCTCTATGCCATGGGGAGTGACAGAGTGCTGTGCTTTCTATCGAGGGCAGGGCAGGGAGACAATGCCAAGGCGGCTGCACCTCCACATGTCATCTTCACCTGTAATGAGCCTATAACAAGCTGGCAGCTTCCTCAGTGCCTAGTTCTCGGTACACTCGGGCCAACTGATAGATACATTATTCAGCTTCTTTGTCAGCTTACTGGAAAAACCACATGGCGGCAATGTGTCTGGCCTGGAAGCCGTAGCTGGGAGATAGTTGATTGCTTCTTTCGTTCAGTCTGCCCTGCTACATCTCTCTGTCTCTCAGACATATGCATACTGTATTTGCAATTTTATGAACAATGTTTAGACAACATCTGTTGTCGGCGTGATCAAGAAATGCAATTATAAAGTGAAGCAAGAACAGGAGAACATCTCTCGTGTCTCTGTAATTCATCTCAGTTTGAGATTAACATGGTACAATGATTTCTTTAGATGCCTTGTATAAAAGTCATTAAAAGCTTTGTGTCTGAATGTATTTGGTTTCTTTAAAGCAAAATCACCAAACAAACCCTGACCCCACTGTACTAATTCAATGTTGTGACTCATTGCAGCACTAAACGCTATTTTAACAAGGGCACGGATGTTGCAGCATGTTTATTCTGAAGCCTTATTTTAAGGAGAAGCAGAAATGTATTAACCAAGAGTGTAGAAAGAAACAACTCTGTCTATTTACTGGTTATTTGAACTTGAGAGTCTGAATGAAACTGTTTTGTAAAGAATGTGTTTGAGTGAGAGAGGGTTTGCTTTAACTCATTCAACCTTTCCTGAAATTCAATGTGACTAAGGACACATGAAGGTTAACAACAACACCTTGCAGGTTGGACCAGCAGAAATAACTGCATAAGAGGAAAGAGTGATAGGCAA